TGATGTCACCAAAGGCTAAGGAGGTTGAAGATTGGCGGTGACATAACATTTTCCACACTCGTGTTACTTGTGATGGTAAGGTCTGTAATATCGTACTTGATGGGGGCAGCAATGAGAACTTGGTATCTAGGGAAGCAGTGAAGAAGCTAAAGTTGCCTACGGAAAAGCACCCAAATTCCTACAAAATTGCTTGGTTCCAAAAGGGAAATGAGGTACCTGTAAGTCCTCGTTGTTTAGTTAAATTTACTTTGGGTGGAAAATTTCAAGATGAAGCTTGGTATGATGTTGTGCCAATGGATGCATGTAAAATTATATTGGTCACAATGGTTGTACGACAAGGACATACTCCATTACACCAAAACAAATATATATACTTTTCAAAAAGATGGAGAAAAAATTAACATTGCAGCCTCTTAAGGATGATGTTTCAAATTCCTCTAAGGTTAGCAAGGTTAATGGGTTCCTTACGACATGATGGTTTGAGGAAGAAAGGAGTCAGGGATTACGTATGCATTAATCAGAAGAAATGTGGCATGTGAACAAACTACAAATGAAGGTTGACTACCTCCAAAAGTTCAGAAGTTGTTGAAAGAGTTTCAAGAATTAGTGAATGAAGAGTTTTCATGTGGATTGCCACCGATGGGAACAGTCCAACATGCTATTGATTTGACTCCGGGAGCATCTTTACCAAATTTTCCAATTTATAGAATGCCTACACAACAAGCTGAAATGAGAAGGCAAGTTGAAGAGTTGATCGAAAAGGGACTAATTTGTGAAAGTAAAAGTCGATGTGCTGTACCTGCTTTACTTACACCAAAAAATGATGGTTTATGGAGAATGTGCATAGATAGCAGTGCAATAAATAAGATAACCATCAAATATTAGTTCCAAATTCCAAGGTTTGATGATATTCTCGACATATTGGCTGATTTTAAGGTGTTCTCCAAGATTGATTTGCGTAGCGGGTACCATCAATTCAGAATGAGGTGTGGAGATGAACGGAAGACAACATTCAGGACTCCAGATATGAGTGGTTGGTCATGCCTTTTGGTTTATCCAATGCTCCTAGTACATTTATGCATACAGAGGTACTTAGACCATTCTTGGGCTCATTTGTTGTTGTTTATTTTGATGACATATTAATTTATAGTCGGACTAGAGAAGAACACTTAGAACACTTACAAAAGGTACTAGAGATATCTTTTTTTTTAAGAAATTCTCTTTCTTGTGTGACAAGGTTGTCCTTTTGGGGTATGTGGTTTCTATAGAAGGGTTACAACCAGATTTTGAGAAGGTGAAAGCTATTAGGGAGAGGCCAATAACTCAATCCCTACGTGAAGTGTGGTTTCCATGGTTTAGCTTCCTACCGTAGATTTATACACAATTTTAGTTCCATAATGAACCCCATTACAGAGATTTTGAAAGGTTCTACCTTTGTGTGGACAAAATCAGTAGACAAAGCCTTTCAATACATCAAATAGGCCTTGACTAAAGCTCCCATACTTGCTTTACCAAATTTTGATAAGTTGTTTACAGTGGAGTGTGATGCCTCACAAGCTGGAATTGGTGCAATTCAGCCAAGAAGATAAACTAGTAGCCTTCTTTAATGAGAAACTAACCGATGCTAAGCGTCAGTACTCTACATATGATCTAGAGTTTTATGCCTTGGTGATAGCTCTACAACATTGGAAACATTATTTGATAGGAAAGGAGTTTGTTGTGTTTTCTGATCATTAGGCCCTACAGTACTTCAATTCACAAAAGAATCTTAGCCTATGGCATGCCAAGTGGACTTCCTACTTACAAGAATTCACATTTCCACTGAAACATAAGTCAAGAGTGTCAAATAAAGTTGCTTCTCCGTAGGCAACAAGTCTTGGGCTTTGAGGAGTTGAATGTGTTACGTACACAAGTCTTGGGATTTGAGGAGTTGAAAACCCAACAAGAGTGTAGAATTCACATTTCTACAGCTGAATGTGTTACGTACACAAGTCTTGGGCTTTGAGGAGTTGAAAACCCAATATGGTGATGATCCATTTTTCAACCAAATAATGAAGGAATTGGAAGGGTTAGCGAATGGAAGAAGCTTGCAATACGCTGTCCATAATGAGTACCTTTTCGAAGGTAATCAATTATGCATTCCCGAAGGGTCTCTACATGAAGAGATTGTTAGAGATCTCCATGGATGAGGTTTAGGAGGACATCTTGGGAGGGATAAAACTTTACACATGGTGGTTGATCGTTATTTTTTGTCCAAGATGCACAAGGATGTGGAATGAGTGGTGAAAAGATGTAGAGTTTGCCAACTAGCAAAGGGAAATACACAAAAGATAGGGTTGTGCTATATACACCTTTGCTAATTCCAAATTCACCATGGGTTCACTTAAGTATGGATTTTGTGCTTGGACTTCCTAAGACAGCAAGGGGCCATGATTCAATTTTTTTGGTGGTGATGGAAAGGTTCTCCAAGATGATGCATTTCATACCTTGCTCAAAGACAGCTGATGCTACTCACATAGCTGAATTGTTCTTCAAAGAGGTGGTGATATTAAAATGGACTTCCGTCTTTTATTGTATCTTATAGGGATGTGAAGTTTATGGGGCACTTTCAGAGGACTTCAGGTACAAAGCTAACCTATTGTAGTACATGTCACCCACAAACAAATGGGAAAACAAAAGTCGTAAATATAAGTATTGGAAACATGTTGAGGTGTCTTGTGGGCGACCATGTAAAGACTTGGGATACCGTTATACCCCCAAGTTGAGTTTGCCTACAACTCTGTAAATAGACCTATCAAAAGAACACCATTTGAAGCAGCTTATGGGCACAAGCTGCAAGATATTTAAAGCCTTGTTTCCTTATCGAATGAAGCATGGGTTTGTGTAGAAGGTGAGGAATTTTCTAATCATATCAAGCACACCCATGAGGTCCGAGAACCAATAAAAGTTAGTAATGAAGCATATGCTACATTAGCAAATCAACACAGAAGGCACAAGGAATTTTGTGAAGGTGATGAAGTACTTGTCCATTTGAGGAAGGAAAAGTTCCCTAAGGGAACAAACCATAAGCTGAACTCAAGAAAGTTTGGGCCTTGTAAGGTTTTGAAGAAAATAAATTCCAATGAATACATCATTGAGTTGCTGGAAGTGCTTTAAATCAAACATATCTTTAATGTTATTGACTTATATCCTTTTGAGGGATTTGAAGAAGTGTAGCCACCAGAAACCATGTTTCAATAGCTCCCAAAAAAGCTACCAGAAGTGATACAAGATGTTTTGGATGTAAAAGAGGTTCAGTCTAGAAGGGGAAACACCTATCGATGATTCTTAGTGAAATGGCTGGGAAAACCAACTATTGAGACTATTTTCAGCAACAAGAAGAAGAAGAAGAAGAAGAAGAAGGAGAAAGATGTAAGAGACAAAAGAATTCCCTCTAGCGGCACCAACTTTATTATTTATATGTTAGGGTGACCAAAGACAAAAATGCCCCTCTACGGCATATAGTACAAATTTCATCACTCCCCCTCAAGTTGGGGCATAGATGTCAATCATCCCCAACTTCTCACAAAGATCATAATGTCGTAGTGAGCATAATCTTTTAGTAAGAACATTTGCAAGCTATTCATTAGAGCTAATGTAGGGAGTACACACTTGCCCCTTCTCAATTTCTCTCTAATGAAATGTTTGTCCACCTCAATATGCTTGGTTCTATCATGGAGAACTGGGTTGGTCGCGGTGTTGACGGCAACTTTGTTATCACAATAAAGTGACATAGGATCAACGAAAGAAAATCCTAATTCACTTAATAGGTTCTTGATCCACAGTAACTCTGCAACTCCATGCGACATAGCCCTATATTCAGCCTCTACACTTGGCCTGGCCACCACACTCTATTTTATGCTTCTCCAAGTCACAAGGTTTTCACCAACAAAGGTACAATATCCGCTAGTGGATTTTTTGTCATCTATTGAACCGACCCAATCTGCATCTGTGTACACCTCTACTCTCATGTGCCCATGTTTCTTAAAGAATAAACCTATCCCTAAAAATTTCTTCAAGCACGTAAGAACTTTGTATGCTACCTCTAGATGTGCCTCCTTGGGTGCATGCATGAACTGACTGAGGGCATCCACAACATATGCTATGTAGAGAAGCTTGCCTACAAGTCTTTGGTACTTGCCTTGGATCTTTCAAGGACTCACCACTGCAATCCCCAAGTTTGTGATTTACATCCATAGGTGTGTCAGCTGGTTTAGCTCCTAGTTTCCTTGTATCCTTTAAGAGATTTAGGGTGTACTTCCTTTGGGAAATGAAGATACCTTACTGAGAACGAGTAACCTCAATACCGAGGAAGTAGTGCAAGTGCCCCAGGTCCTTTACCTCATACTGTGTAGGAAGGAATTTCTTTAATCTCTAAATCTTTGAGACCTAGTATCCAGTGATGACAATATCATCTACATAGATAATCAAGGCTGCTGCTTTTTCTTGTTCCCTCCTTACAAAAAGTGTGTGATTAGATTGGCACTACTTGAATCCCATCTGTTGATCTGCCTGATGAAACATACTAAACCAAGCTCTCGGAGATTGCTTTAGACCATAGAAAGATTTCTTCAATTTGTAGACTTTATGTTCACTTCCCTTAGTACAAAAACTAGGGATTGAGTCATATACACTTCCTCTTCAAAATCACCATTCAGGTGGGCATTCTTTATAATTAAGTTGGTGAAGCTTCCAATCAAGATTTGCAGTTAGAGACAGGAGAACCCAAATAGAGTACATTTTTGCAACTGGAGAAAAAGTCTTGGCATAATCAACTCCATGCACCTGTGTGAAACCTTTTGAACTAGTCGAGCCTCGTACCTCTCCACAGGCCCATCTGCCTTATGCTTTATAGAGAATACACATTTGCATCCTACAGGTTCCTTTCCCTTAGGAAAATCTACCAGTTCCCACGTGTCATTTTTGTGAAGAGCATTGATATCTTCTTTCATTGCATATGTCTACTCAGAAACAAGTAAGGCCTCTGCAACACTCTTGGGAAGGGGAAAACTATCAATGGTAGATAGAAAAGCACGAAAAGAAGATGAGACATTCTCATAGGACAAAAAATGAGATATACGATGATGTGTGGTGCATGATCTAACACCCTTCCTTTTTGCAATAGGGAGGTTCAGATCACAACTTGAAGTGTCAATATCAATAGGTTCATGAACATCAACTGGAACAATAGTATCTGGGTGGGGTGAAGGCAACCCCTGAAACTCTGATGGCATTGCTGGCATGATTTCTGGTGGCTTTGTGGCAATTGAACTCTGTTGGCATTGATTTTTGTAGCGCAATCTCCAAAAGACACGAAAAGGAGGAGGATTAGGAATAAAGGGCAACAAAACTTGAGTTTGACTGTTTCTCTTCAACTCTACTCTCCCCCTGAGGAGAAACAATAAAATAGGGAACATCTTCAAAGAAAGAGACATCCATAGAGCAAAGTATTTTTTAGACACAGGGTCAAAACAATGATAGCCTTTCTGAGCAAAGGGATAACCAAGAAAAATGCACACAATAGCTTTGGGATCAAGCTTACCACGAGTAGGAGAGAGATCATGAACAAAACACTTACGTCCAAAGACCCGCATAGGGGTAGAAAACATAGGAGCTTTAGGGAAAAGGAGTTGATGAGGGGACCTATAATCCGGTACACAAGATGGTGTTCTATTGATGACATAGGCAGCAGTTAGAACAACATCCACCCAAAATCTTTTTGGGACATTCATCTGTAACATTAATCCTCGAGTAACTTTTAGGAGATGTCGATTTTTTCTTTCCATAACCCCATTTTGTTGTGGGGTTCTGACACATGAGCTTCTATGTTGAGAGCCACAGGATGCAAAGAAATCTGTAAAGTCTCCATGAAAATATTCTTTGGCATTATCTGCTTGAAAAATTCGGATCTCAGATTGAAATTGGGTATAAACCATATGTTGAAAGTCTTTCACAATTTTAAGAACCTCCCATGAATGCATAGGATAAATCCAAGTATAGCGAGAGAAGTCATCAACAAAGGAAATAAAATACTTGTAACCATTCTCAATTAGAATATTAACAGGTCCCCACACATCTGAATACACGATGTGAAAAGGAAATTCTAATCTTTTATTACGTTAAGGGAATGAGGTTCTACAATGTTTACTCAGTTGACATAGTTGACACTGAAAATCACTAACAAACAAAGACTTAAATAACTTTGGAAACAAAAACTTCAAACTCAAAAGATACATGGCCTAAATGGTGGTGCTACAAGATTCTTACTCGACGGATTCAAAGACTTTGAAACTGAAAGGCCAACTTTGTTCTCCAGCACGTAGAGACCACCCACCATTTTCCCTCTACCAATTGTCTTCCCGATAGCCAAATCCTGAAAAACACAAGAATGTGAAAGAAAGGTTATTGAGCAATTTAAGGCATGAGTAATACTACTAATGGACAACAAATTAATAGGTAACTTTGGAATATGAAGGACATTTGATAAGGAGAGGCCAAAAGGCAAAGATATAGGTCCTTGACCAACAATGGAGGAGAAGGATCCATATGCTAGCCTCTCTTTATCTTTGCTAGAGAAAAGAGAATATGTTTGAAATAAGGTTGACTTACCAGTCATGTGGTTGGATGCATCGAAATCAATAATCCATGGGGATTCTAGGTTATCAGTAGACACATGGAAAGCTGAAACAGAATTACCCGAAGATGAGGCAAAAGAAGTAGAAGGTGTGGGTCCAAAATCAACATTGTGGAGAGCCTACCATATTGCTCTAAGTGGTCATGAAATGAATTAATAATATCTTCCTTTGGGTCAGAACGAGGCAGCCCTGAGAAGTACTCTAATGTTCATGAGATGCTAAGTGAGCCGAAGTAAACTTCTTCTGGTATAGTTTCTTTGCTAGTTCTTGTGCTGATTTCTTACCCAATTCCTGTGCCCATTTCGGATTCCCATTCAATTCCTAGTAGGTTTCACGGGTGTGCCTAGGTTTTTGACAATGAGTACACCACATTTTGTCTTTATCTTCTGTCTTTTTCTGATTTTTCCCTTTTCTTGGTACCCTAGTGTTACTTCTTATAGCAAGGACAATAGTCTCCCCCTCAGGAGGATTCATGGCAAACTTCCTACTCTCTTCAGACTGAACAAGTGCATAAACCTCTTGGACAGATGGAAGATCCTTGCTGTCCAAAATCTGAACGCGAATAGGTTCATACACAAGATTCAAACCTAGAAGGAAAGCGAACACCCTTTGTTGTGAAACTAACTTTTTATATGCTTTAGCATCCTTTTCACTTTCCCACTCAATATTCTGGTAATAGTCTAGTTCTTTCCAAACTGAAGTGAGGGCAGAATAATATGTTGATAAGTTCCTTTCTCCTTCCTTATATGTCGAAGATTCTGCTTGTAGTTGGTAAGTTCTAGCATGGATGTCAAAGGCCAAGACATAATCATGCAATTTTCTTGGTCCCACTTATCCTATTCTACAGTACTAGCCTTGGGTTCCTTTATTTTCCCATTTATATATCTTACCTTACCCTTGGCTGTGATATACAACCACATTTCCTTAGACCAAGCCAAGTAATTTCTACCATTCAACGGGGTGATAGTCATTGGGAAATTCATGGAGTCATGACCACTACTCATTCCACTATGATTCATGGTGGTTCCCAAAGTTGCAAACTCTTTAGCGTTCATGATTTCAGTCTATACACACCCACAAGAGAAGAAACAACCCTCACTCTAAGTAATTCACAAAAAAAGGGTTTTTTGGATCATCCGATCCACAAAGGGATTAAACCCACCTTATATCATTCGGTCAATGCAAAAGAGCATTAACCTGTTCTTTTGCAAACTCTTTAGCGTTCATGATTTCAATCTATACACACCCACAAGAGAAGAAACAACCCTCACTTTGAGTAATTAACAATTAGAACCCAACTTCTGCTGCTATGTTGGTCACCTGAACACACACACAAGTGTAACAGATCCCCCAAGGCTAACATTAACCACAAGCATCAGTAAACAACTACTGTACCAGTCAGCCGAACTAGGTCACTCCCATGACCTACAAATTTCTTCACAAAAAAAAGGGTTTTCTGGATCATCCGATCCACAAAGGGATTAAACCCACCTTATATCATTCGGTCAATGCAAAAGAACCTTAACCTGTTCTTGGTATCAACACCAAGAACAAAAAAAAAGTTTACAAAGTGTCCTTGATCAGTCCGAGAGAATTCTGGGTTTTCTAATAACAAACTAGGGAACAACAGAGAAAAAAAAGGAACAGCCGGCCTCTTAGGAAGATTCAGCCAATCATCAACAACTCCTGGAATCACTTCAGTCAAGTTTTAGCCCAGAACAAACGAAAGAGATGCAGCCAAACAGTTCTCAGGTACAGAACATCAGTATGCTTCCTTCGTTCTCAGTCCAGAAAGCACAGAACGATCAGCAAATGCAATGTGGAGATTTTATAGAGCACCGACCTGCTCTGATACCATGTTTTCAACAAGGAGAAAGATGTGAGAAAAGAATTCCCTCTGATGGCGCCAGCTTTATTATTTATATGTTAGGGCGACCAAAGACAAAATTAAAAAGGAAAAGACAAAAATGCCCCACAATGACATATAGTATAGATTTCATCAGAGACTACTTGCATCGCATAAGAAGAGTTGCAGAAGTTGGACCCAGGCACACATGTTGAGTGAATGAAGGATTTCTTGCCAGAGTCAAGTTTCCACCCGGAGAGGTTGATGTAGGAGCATGTGGGGCCCACATGTAACCCCGCTAGCAATTGGGTTCCTCGAGGGGCTAAGTTAGCAGCAATTCAGCATTGCTTTCTTAGTTTCTTGAATTATGTAACTTAAATGGACCTTATAGGCGCTTGTCAGCGTCCTAGCCTTTTATTATTAAGTTAAGTCATGTTATTGTCACGTGAGTCAGTTATATATATAAGCCTCATAATCTTTTCACTATTTTGAAACTCTAAAGACGTTTTATCCACTGATGTGGTGATTTCAACAATAAAAGTGGGGTGTTCTTCGTTCCAGCTTCAACTGTACTGTTTCACCTCAAGATTTTAACACTTCTTGTTGTTGTTTCTACTAGCTTTTATATCTTGTTGCGTTAGTTGGGTTGGGTCGAGGGTACCCATTTGGGTCATAAAGGAGGTGAGGGTCGAAAGTAATTTTCTTTCTTTCAGTTCTCTGTTCGGCTAGTGGAAGTCGCCATTGTAACTGCTACTCTGTTAGGGTTTAAAATTTGTTTTCTCAAATCTCTGTTCTGGCATCTGACAGTGGAAGTCGCCATTAAAGTTGCTATTCTGGTAGGGTTTGAAAAATGTTTTCTCAGATCTCTATTCCGCCAATGGAAGTCGCCCTCAAATCTTTGTTCCACCAGTGGCAGTCACCATTGAAGCTGGCTACTCTGTTAGGGTTTGAAAAATATTTTCTTAGATCTCTGTTCCACCAGTGGAAGTCGCCATTGGAGCTACAACTCTGTTAGGGTTTGAAATTCTTTTTCTCAGTTCTTTATTCCGCCATTAAAGCTATTTGGGTCAGGGTCAAAAGTAAATCTTGTTGCTACTGTTTCTCATTTCAAAGTCACCAAGTTTTTTCTAAACAAGTTGCCACTAATTCATCCAAAATCAATAAGTCTCCATTGTTTATTGTTATTTTCATTACATGGATAGTTGCAGGACAAGTGCCATCGGCTAATTCAATTCACCTCTCCCTTCCTCATACACACACAAACACACCTGCAAATAATAGAAGAATCACATGGAAGTGAACAAATCCACACCCCCACAAGGCCACAAGAATAAAACCTCTCTCCTCTCCCTCTCATGGAGACTCCAACACCACCGCAAGGCCCCCTCTTTCTACTCGGCTTAACTAGTTTGCTGCCAATAGTTGAGCTAGAAAACATTTCAAACTCAGGGAGCAAAATTATACCTTTACAACAGAGCTACGTGCTGGTACCGCCATGTTCCTCACCATGGCCTACATCCTCGCCATCAACACTGGCATCCTCTCCAACTCCAGCGGCACTTGTTCTGTGTTCGATTGCATACCTCTCTATAACCTTCATCTCACTTTCCAATTCCTCCAACGGCACTTGTTATTTTTATTGTTTTTTGCATTTTCTTCAATTGTTGTTTTTTAGTTGAAACACGTACATTTTAATTTTCTTACTACTTTATGTATTTTTTCTGTAATTTTTTATTTTTTTGTATATATTGTTGATTTTTACATTTTTTGCTTTTTAGCTGTAATATATATATATATATATATATATATTTTTTTTTTATTTATTCATCTTTTTATGTAATTTTTGCAATTTTCATATATGCGACCTGTATCTGCCACGTGGCCATCATGAAAAAGGCACATATGGTTCTCTTAGACTTGATTTTTTGGATATACGGGTTGACCCAACCAGGTTGTGGCCTTTGATAAAAAAAATATAAAAAAATAAAAGCAATAAGCATTTATACTTGGTGAGGGTCGATATGGGTGGGTAAGGGGGTAAGGGTGGGTTGTGACCCACTAACAAGCATTTATAGTGGGTCATAGTGGGTTAGTGGATAATATGGGTGGGTTGGTATTTAACCCACACCCAACCCAACCCAACCCATTTGCCACTCCTAATTGTGATGCATTAGCAAACAAACATTATTGGACATTCTCCTTATTCTACCCGAAAGAGGAAATAACTCCTTAAAACAAAGAATGCAAACCACCACACAACCTAAAGAGAAAAACCCCTTATCTGATCAGTTTCAGCCAAAGTGGCAGTATTTCAGACTTCTAAATGCCACCTTAGACTGGAAATGTAGAACAACTAAGCAAGGTTCCAGAGAGTGGTTAATGAGTAACTTCCTACGTGTTAAAAAAATAAGAAATAATATTCATAAAAAAAAGAAATAATCAATAATGAGAATGGATTACTAGATCAGACTGGAATTGAAATCCCAAGTAACATAGACTTCCAGACTGGGGCCATTTGTCTCATTGCTAAAGACTGGAATAGAGAGACAGGATAGAACTGAATGCTCCAGAGAATGACATAAGCAGCAAAATCAACACAATTCATCACATTGTTGGTCATGCATATAGAATGTTAACAGTCAGAGGTGGAATGGAACATCAAGCTACAAAAACATGGAACCACAGTTTCTCATCCCCCAAATGTTTCATTTTGCTGATTATATACAGTTATTTTTCCACACTATATGAGTGTAAGTGAATCAATATATATTGAAGAACAAGGAAGAAAATGACTCCCTTTACAAAACTAACCTGATCCAAACAGTCATGAGCTCATGCTAAAACAATAATGATTTTTTTTTTCAACTACACAAGCTCTGAGTCAGGATAGTGTACCTATTTCAAAATTGACATGAGATGGAAAAAAAAAATAAACAAGGAAAAAGAATTTATTTCAATAGGGAACTCATGCTCTTAATGTAGGACTCTGTCTTGAATGGCTTAATACCATGTTCGTGCTCTTCACAGAATCCACAAGATGATCAAAATATGTTGCTACCAAATAACTACATTAAGAACAAAACCTTTCAATGGAAACTTACCTTGCCGGGAACTAGATCATCATCTGTTCAAACTGCCAGCTAAAACTGACAACCTCCTCACATTTCTGTATGATGATCCCCTCAAAAAATATTACATCCTATAAAAAGCACAGACTGACAAAAACGCATCAATGACATTCAGAATCCATGCAAGTTCGGGATATATAAAAGTGATTTATTGTCCCTTAGATGCTATAAAACAATAAATATCAATGCTGCTTGGAATCATCAAGGGGAAACCACAAAATATCATATCATTTACATTAAGGGAATAAGGCAGAAACAAAGATCATCAATTACTTCACATCAGCTTAGAGCACTTTGGATTCATTGGTCTTACCACTTCCACTCTGCCCAACAAATTAATTTAATTTGATTGGAGATATGTGCTATGACCAAACTACAATGAAAAAAAAGCAATGACAATCCAAGCACACCATCCTTAATAATTAAAAGGCCATCTAGAACATCTCATGTGGTGATTGTCTTCATGAATGGTTGCTGAGCTTCTTCCACCTGATTCACCGTGGTGAGTGTGAACTTGACGAGCGGAAGGGCCACATGAAGGAAAATGGATTGCGCCTTCCTCGACTCTCCCCACCATTCTCCCTGCCTCCGGGGGTACTAGTAGCACTTTGACTTCTGTTGTGACGTCTTGAACTTTGACTATGGCATGCACTACTAGATCCTTGTGGAGGCAACTCATGACGACAGACAGGACATGTGTTGTGCTGAACCAACCATGGAACAATGCAATCATTGTGATAAATATGTTTGCAAGGCATCTGCCGTGCTTCAGAGCCCAACTCGAACCTATCTTTACAGACAGGGCAATGCAAATCAGTACGCAGATGCTTATTTGTGATTGTTATTGTGGGCATTGCATCTATGGAAGACTGAGATGCTGGGGGTGGCCCTTGCCTATCACCCGCAGAGAGCTGCTCAATCAGTTCATCCAGTCCTGGGCCAATGAAGTAATCACCAGTATTAGCCCGTCTTAGTCCAACTCCTGTACCTCTATTGAGAGGTAAGTCCATCAAACCATTTTCAGGAATCCTGAAAGGCATCTGACCATTAAAGATCAACCATGCACCTGCACGTAACCCCATGCCATGTTCGGGAACCATACGAGATCTCAATCTGTCGAGTTCTCGGTATCTACCTGCCAATCTCTGCCTCACCATTAAATCTTCTATTAATCTAAATCGCTGGTCATGGTCGACAATGGAATCAAATCCAAAGAAATCCAGGGGGCCAATGCCCTCCATCTCATCGAGCTCCTGAACAAAACCTCCATCACAATGAGGGCACACCTTATCTCGTCTACGGAGTCTAACCTGCTGCCTACATCTGTAACACCAATGGGTATTTCCGCTCGACATCCTTTACTTCTCTCCCCCTTTGTGTCTGCCGAATTTCTGAGACAAAGCTCAGAATTCTGTCCACTCTGCACAGAGAATTCCTTCCTTCTTTCTTCCCAAAACTGCTCAAAATCTACTCATTCACAAACAGGAAAAAGGAAAAGGCATCAAAATTACCATTAATAAAGACAAATAAGAGCCCTCAGGCATATTGCAAGAGGTTAATATCTGACAAAACGGTAGAGATGAAGCCAAAAGAAGAGAAAACCCAAAAAAAAATAAAATTAGAAAAAAAAAGAAGAAGAAAAACAAGATGAATCCATGAATTACATTAGATTTTACAAAAGAATCAGAAAATCAAAAAAGCTTGGACACGACAAACATTGAAATGAAATTTTATGCAATTGAACCCAATTAATATCTTTAATGGAAATTGGAAAAAATTGGGTAAAATAAACAGCATATCAAAATAGTTGAGACAACTTTTCTTTTCTTTTCTTTTTAATGCAAAATCACATCTAACACAATCGAAAATTCTAAAATTAAGAAATAAAAGCACAACTAAAACAAAATTCAAACCCTCCAATGTCAGAATATATTGAAGCATATGGGTAAAAGATCAAAACGAAAATATATCAACATAATTGGAAAGTTGTGCCGAGAAAAGGACAAGATTACATGAAAAAAAAAATGGGAGAAAATGATAATGATGGTTGAAAAGAAATACAACACATACCTCAAGAGGAGCAGAAGAGAAGAAGAGAAGATCTGAAGGAGGGCCTCCTCCATGGAGAGACGGGGAGAGAACAGGAGTGGAGGCAGAAAACCCTAAGCAGAATGCGATAGGGGAGTTGAAGCCACGAAGGAGGAGGATCTCTATATGCCTCTGCTGCTTTCCCTTTCTTTCTAAATTCTACTACCACACCTCCAGGAGGCTGCCATGTGGTCCTGTCAACGGAGTCAGGTATGGGTCCAATGCAATCCGATCCATGTTTTCCGTAGATCCGTGGACGACTTTTTTAACTAGGGTTGTAAGTCGGGCCGGGTAATACCTGACTCGAATCGGGTTAGGTTCGAGAATTGAACAAGGTTTAGCTGTTCCGCAGGTTGTGAAACTAATGATAAGGTTTTCATGTCAGCATTTTTTATATGCATTTACTAGTTTGGACTCATGTGCAAAGCATAAAACTTTGGTTGTTTGTAAAAAATAACATAAAACTTTGGTTATATGCACTTTGGCTGTATTAATAGAAAGAGTCTTATTGCATTTTTAATTAAGTTTATCCAATCCAACTCAAGTATTATATTTTTGAGTCATGTTTAGTTGTTGTTATCGCAATCCAAATTGAAACATTAGTAAGAGTGGGGACGTCAGCGGGCCAAGTTAAATGATAAATTCAACTTAACTCACCCCTACATTGTCTGATTAGGATTGAGCTTATTAGAGTGTAGGGTCATGTTAGAGTTTTGATTATTTAATCCAAATTATGTATAGGTTTGGTTGACCATGCCCATTAGGTCATAATAGCCCTATACATATAAAGGGTATTCTTGTAATTTGGTTTGACTTCTAACCCCTAACCTTAAGGTTATGCTTGGTTTGTAAAGGTTTCCTACATTTTCCTTCATTTCCCTACTTTTTCCTTAAAACTAAATAAAGCCTAAAGTTTATGATTTCTTTCAATGTTTGTTTTAACCCAAGTTAGGTATAGGGGTTAGGTTAGAGTTTTGTTTATTTAACCCAAATTGGGTTCAAGTTTGAGTAAGTCATGCCCATCGGGTCATRATCCCCTACACATATAAAAGGTATTCATATAATTTGGTCTATATGATTTATTTCACTGTTAGTTTATTTATTTATTTCTTTTCTTTCACTCTAGAGAAGTCATACCTTGGAACCCATACATTAATGGGTCTTGAGTTTTCAAAAAGTATCATATAAAATATAATTGAAAGGCTATGGGCCGGATTGAGTTGATATCGAGTTGAACCCTATAAGCCGGGGCAAGTTCAAAAACTACATAGCATTGAACCACATTGAATTGTGTTTGAGTAGAAGCATGGGAGAGTCACCTTAATGTTGAGTCAAACCCATGCTAACTTGCCCAACCCTATAGGGTTCAACCTAATACCAGCCCAATTTGTGTCATAGTTTTTCAATTGTATTTTTTGACAAATTTTAAAAACTCAAGAGCCATTAATTTAAGTTGGAAATTGGTTTAGGGTTATTGGGTTGGCATCCTTAATTTTATTTACACTATTAGTAATTTAATTGAACCTTCAATTAATAAAAATTATAATAAAATTATTATTATTATTATTATTATTATTATTATTATATTAACAAATTTAAATTAATGTTTTCAATTTTTATCATTTTTAAATATGACTTAAATGGATTGTAAACATAACTTCTATAGTTTCATTAGAAATAATAATTAATAATTATGCTACCTAATTAAATTAATTAGGATAGTTTAACAACATAAATAAGTTATGGACTGGACTTAGGCCTAAATGTTTGGATTTTCTTAATTTTGGGCCAGGCCCAAGCCTAGTGTCACACACACACACATACATGGATATAATTTTCGCTTATTGACTAACGCAACCCTGGTGACCTAGGCCTCGGGCCAACCTGAGTGTATTAAATTTTAGTGCAGGCAGGGCTTGGGTTGGAAAAATCTGACTTGACCTTGGGCTTGGGCCTTAACCCAATTCTAAAGGTTGGGCTTGGGTTGAGCTTAATTATTGTTATTTTAATTACTGTGAAAATATTTTACATAATTGAGTAAATAAATGTGAAATTATTTTAATTATTTGTGACATTCTTACTTAAATAATTCAGTAACTTAATTATTTTACTTTACAAAATTATGGTAAATTCACTAATTTAATAGTAATTTACTATTAAATTAGTTTTTCAAACAGCTTGGTAACTAATTAAATAACATAATTTACATAAATTATGGTAATTTTCAACAATAATTACCATAATTAATAAATTATATTTATATTTTATAATTTAAGTAATTGACAATAGTAGTTCAATTATCATTAATGTTATTTTAATTACTATAAAATTATTTTACAATAATTATAATTTAAATAATTTACTAAATATGGAAATTTACTATTAAATTACTTTTTCAAAAAGTTTGTTAATTAATTAACTATAATTAATTATCAATTTTTAAAAGTAATTTCAACATAAAACATTAAATAATTACCATAGTTAGTAATTAATTATCAACTCTACTTAATTAATTAAATATTTAATGAATAACAACAATTATTTGAGATTAATTAAATCTACTTAATTAATTATTTGCATTTAATTTTGTAATTATATTATTTATAATTATAATAAGATTTTAATTAACTATTAAATTTTACTTTTTTTTTATTATTTGTGTTATTGTATTATCTATTTTCTCTTATTATTGTTTTACATATTTATTGCTCATCTTATTTCAATATTTAAGTGTTAACTAAAATTGTTTTCATAAAACGTTTGACCTTAAACATTAACATTTTAAACATTGATGAGAAATTAAATGCATGTATTTGTAAGCTGGATATAGATAGTGATGGAAATAAGTAGAGATATAGGGGAGGGAGAAGATGAGATTAGGAGAGGAGATGATTTAGGTGAGAGAGAGAGAGAGAGAGAGAGATTTTAGGTGATTGGGGTTTTAAGGTAGTAAGTTGAGAGTTAATGAAGGGTATGTTGAGGAGAGAGAGGGAACCAATGAGAAGCCTTAGTTGGATAAGGGGAGAAAGGAGTGACCATCTAACATGGCCATCTTTGTTTTAATATATACTAATAGATTTTTTATACTGCAATATTCAAGTGTTAAGCTCAACTCAATTTTAGCATTATTATATATAAAAAGGCACCATTACAATCCTCGTGCTTTTTTAAAAAAAATGTTTTTGCCTTCAAGGCTTCAAACTTAAAATTAGTGACATACATATATACATATATACATATATACATATATATACATACATGTATAAAGATAGTTAGACAAGTTATCGTAAAGAAAATATATAGCTACAATCTAGTATATCCAACAGTCTAACTTTGAATTTGACATGTGAATTGCAATGTTGGACAGAAAAAAATCAATATTTTCTGCATACAATCAATATGGGGTTGGACCATGGTGTTTCAAAACCAAAATCAATTAAAATAAACTTAGGGTCCGTTTGGTTTGCTGGAATAGGGGTCTGGAATCGGAATTGGAATGGACTATTCCGATTCCAACTATTTGGTTGGGCAGAATCGGAATCCCATTCCCATTCCATCTGGAATGGCATTCCCCCATTTGAGGGAATGACCATTCCCTGTCCCTCCCTTGGGATTTGGGAATGAAATCCCATTCCTACTGATTTTAATTCCCATTCCCATTTATCTGATCCAAACAGACTATGGGAATGGACAATTCCGATTCCGATTCTAGAGGATTTCGATTCCAATTCTGACTATGAACCAAATTGACCCTTATACTAGATGCAAAATCCCACTACTAGTATAATATTCATGTCCAAACTACTAGTGTCTCTTACAACCTTGTTCTTGCTTCAACTCTAATTCCCTTAAGATAGAGGTGTCAATTGAACTGGATTTGGTCCAATCCGATCCAATCCAGTGTGAGTCCATTACAAATGGGCCTGGTCCAATCCAGTCCAATGAATATTTTAGACCATTTTGGACTAGTCCAATTCAATGTTTGGACCGTCCAATCTTTTCAAATTCGTTTTAATTTAGATTGGTCCCAACTCAAACCTAGTCCATTAACACATGCATTCTTATCTTCTATCAGTGGACCAAATATTGGCTCAATCCAACCCAATCTAATATAAATTCATTGTAGATGGACAAGTCCAATCTAATCCAATAAACACTTTGGACCATTAAGTTTGGATTGGTCCAATTCAATGTCTTATTGGTCCATCCAATCCATCCTAATTGAATTTGATTTGGATGGAGTCCAACCCAAAACCAGTCCATTGACACCCCTACCTTAAGGTATACCATAAATTTTAAAGTCACTTAGGTGGTGTTTAATACTATTGTTGTTTTTTGCCTTTTCTTTTTGGAAAAATGCTGCCAACTTAAAGCCACATAGGCATTTTTTTTTTTGCAATGGAGAATCACTTCTTATTTGGTTGATGCTTTATTACCATTTCTTATAAAAATTCTATCAACTTTTTTGACTCAATTTCTCTGAGAGTCGTTTTTCCAAAAAAATGTCATTTTTGGTGTTTCTTGTGGGGAGAAACATTCTTTCCTATGTGGCACCTATTGGAGCCTGTGTCTTCAAACAAGAATAGACATAAAATATTGTTTTTAGGATTTTGTCTAGAGTTAACTGCTCTCCCAAAATCCAAGAAAAAAAACATTGCCTAGACAACGGCGTTGGTACCAAACACCTCCTTAGTGTTGTTGTTAGAACTTGCAATAAGATCGGAAATTGAACAAGCAAATGTGAGGAAATCCGAGCCAAGCTACTTTTAAAGAGGCTTGCAACCGCACATAACATTAGAGTCCTCCACATTTGGGGACATGTGGTAGATGGAAAGTCAGGGACGAGATTTAGACAATTGATCTTAATTCAATCTAAGTTGAACAACTAGGATTTTGTTATTTGCCCCTAGAGTCCTTGGATGCTTAGAGTAGAGCGTAGGTCATCTTAGTTTTTGGCTCAGTCTTTAGTCTTCAACTCAATAAGTCTATTTTTCGTTTTCTATAAGTTATACAATGTTTATTCCCTCTTCTTCGTCCTTTTACTCCTCTTTTTCCCATTATGAGCTAATCAAGATTAGAGTTGGAGTTGGCGAGTTCCAACTCTAGCTCATCCCTAGAAACCAAGCTTGAGTTTAGGGAGA